AAATTATAAAGAAAATGATCAAAACATGAAGATGACAAAAAAATGATAAAACATGATAAAATAAATGATCAATGCAATGATAATCAACATGATAAACGAATGGAAAAAATATTTTAAACATTCCAATGTGTAGCTGGCTCGATTCTTCACAATACTAGTCATTTTGCCTATGGTGACTATTGCCACCACCACAACCAAGATGCACATCGGCAGCTTGCCTGTTGAGCCGAGGACAGGTTGGCAGCGTGGCGTTGTGAAGGAGGTTCTCTGGTGGAAGCATCACCGATGTGGACCTGTGCCCTATACTGCCCGGGGCCGAGTGTTGAGCCTTTGAGCCCTGTTGATGTTGGTTAGGGGGGTGACTGAAACAGCTTCAGACATTGGGAAATGAAGCTTTGAAAGTTGGGTGAAACAGCGAAATATTGGCAGATCAAGTTGACATGACGTTGGATATAGGTGTTAAATGATGATTGATGGTGCTGCTTAGAATGCGTGACAGACTATATAATTGGTTCAATGTATCCAAAAACTAAACAGTAGGTTTGGCTTTCTTGTGCTGGAATTTCATTTTTTTTTACTCTTGTGCTTTCTTGCTAGCTTACGCATAAAGTGGATCGGACTTTCAATCTATTGCCATCCAACTCCTTTTCACCATACCCGGTGTTAAGACAATAGGACCGGTTGGCAGATTTGTCAGCGTGCCAACGACGAGAAACAGAAGATGTGCCAACTGGCAATCCTTCAACAGGATGAAGTTTGGGAAGCTTTCTTCGGCCCGCAAAGTAGGAATGGGTCAAATTTCACATTGGACCACTGATGCTGACAGGTTTTGAGGAGTCAACCTTCCAGTTTGGGGTGATTTTCCCACTGAAACCTCCGTTTATGGTGGATTTACTAGCGGCTTTGCGTCATGTTTGATAACGCCCTTCAGGGTACCTCGTGGCCCCATAAGTCGTCACGAGCTCCGAGGTGGTCTTGTCCACCGGAGCCCATATCTTTGTACCTTCGGTTCCCACGGCTGAATTTGGACGCCTCCAACGTTGGTCCAACGTTGGAGTAGGAATTCTATGAGCGAAGTGGGAGTCAGAAGTTGGATCATGTTTTGCGTTTCTCGGAAAATCCTCAGGTCCCATTCGTTCAAAGGACCTTCATAGAACCTTAATTTCCAGGTGAGATTTCCTGATATCCGTCACATTGCAGCGCCAGGCTAGCCTGATCCGGAAGGCACCCTGAGGTGGCACATTTTCCCATTCCGAGCATCTGCGATGCTTTGTGGCGACCAGTGAGTTCTCACCATTTCCCTGTGGTGACTTTGAGCCAGCATCCAAGTGTACGAAGTAGCATACATGGGTTTTAGTGAAATCTTGGTAACTCCCCAAATCCCGCGATATATGATCGTTTCATATCATTTCCAGATTTATAAAGGGCAATTTCCGGCTACCCCTAGTTTTGGACAAACCCAGGGTACGATTTGGCTTTGAATCTTTCATTCAACTGGCCTAGTCTTCCACAAAGAGACGAATGGCGTGCTGATGGGTTGTGATGACCTGAAACTCAGCTGAACTGGGAGCATTGCCATGCATTGCCCAAGTGCTGAGGGGCAAGTGCTGAGGGGCAAGTGCTGAGGGGTGGGTTGCTCACGCTTCACGGACGTGAGAGTGAAACCGCTTTGGAAGTTTTCAACCTGATAAAACAAGGAGAGAGGCTCAGATACTCGCAGGATTTTGCAGCGGCATTTTGTGCACTTTCATAGCATATTCAGTTGTCGGCTGACAAAGCGCACAGCTCAAAGCCGCTTTTATTGAGCTGTTGTGGATCGAAGCTGCCAGACAGTCTTTGAGCGATGGCACTAGCTATGCGAGGAATCCTCGCTCTGTGCTTGTGTGGGCACACGTTGCCCGCCGGGAAGGGAGGTAGGAGAGACATTTTAGCCGATTTTAGCCGCTAGCCGAGCACATCCAAATGTGACGCATGCTTGCAGCAACGACATCAGACCATGCCAACCATGATTTCCTTCCTCTGTCGTTCTAAAATCGGTCAAACTGGGATGATGTGCAATGCATCAAATGTGCTGGATCTAACAGTATCTAACATTGAGTAATGGCGTACCAAATGAATTCCATGTTTGCAGAGCGCAGAACGTAGCATGTGTGTATGTGTGTGTGTGTGTTGTACCCATATACTAATACATAGGACATTGTTGTTCTGCATTTGTCCAAGTTTCTCCATATTTTGGTGGTTGAAGTGAGGAGTCTCAAACTTTCTGTGTCCACGCTTGGTACGTGAGGCTGGCGCAGGAGTTGGCGTTGGGTGTTTATGGCCCAGTGACGACTCGATCGCAGCTGTACCTGGCGATGGTGGCAGCCTGGCTCCAGGTCGTGAACATATTCAATTCCAAACGATGACAAGAAAAAAACATGACTACATGGTCATTAGTATCATTTCAGAGGTAATCTATGCTGCGGTTTCTTTTTAACTTATCTATCTGTCTCTCTCGCTCCATAGTCTATCTTTCTAAACATATACATACATGCAGGCAGGCAGGCTGGCGGACAGACAAACAGACATACAGACAGACATACAGACATACATACATACAGACAGACAGACATACAGGACGTATGTACATAGATACATAGATACATAGATACATAGATACATAGATACATAGATACATAGATACATAGATACATACAGTAGATACGGTAGATACGGTAGATACGGTACATAGATACATAGATACATAGATACATAGATACATAGATACATAGATACATAGATACATAGATACATACAGTAGATACATAGATACATAGAAACATAGATACATACAGTAGATACAGTAGATACATACGTAGGTACATACAGTAGATACAGTAGATACAGTAGATACGTAGATACATAGATACATACAGTAGATACAGTAGATACAGTAGATACATAGATACGTAGATACATAGATACATACAGTAGATACAGTAGATACAGTAGACACATAGATACGTAGATAGATACATACAGTAGATACATACAGTAGATACATAGATACATACAGTAGATACATACAGTAGATACATACAGTAGATACATACAGTAGATACATACAGTAGATACTTACAGTAGATACATACAGTAGATACATACAGTGGATACATACAGTAGATACATACAGTAGATACATAGATACATACAGTAGATACATACAGTAGATACATACAGTAGATACATACAGTAGATACATAGATACATACAGTAGATACACAGAGTAGATACATAGAGTAGATACATAGAGTAGATACATAGTGTAGATACATACAGTAGATACATACAGTAGATACATACAGATACATACATACATACGTACGTACGTACGTACGTACGGACAGACAGACAGACAGACAGACAGGCCGGCAGGCAGGCAGGCAGGCACGCACGCAGGCAGGCAGGCAGGCAGGCATACACACATACATACGTACGTCCATGATACTATGACATACACATACTGACACACAGACAAATGCATGCATTCACACATGTACATACAGACATATTTATATGTATTTTGGTGGCTTTCACGTTGGATCTCCACTGGGAATCTCTATAACTGTCGTGCCTGGCAGTGGGTACCCTCTACCAACTTGGCCAACGGGTGATCTCCTCTAGATCAGCAATGGGTTCAGCATGGATTGTATATAGGTTAGATATGGATTTTACGTCTAAAAAATCAGGTAAGATGGGTTGACCATTGGCGATTGCTCATGGATTTTCCATAGCTGTGCTTTTTTGCTGGAGGGTCAAAATGAACCAAAAACCATACCAACAAAGCTTGCTTCAGCAATTTCATTTCACCCATTGCGCAACCAGCCTCAACACGAGATGGCTCACTTGAAGTTCATCGGAGTCAATCTGTGGTCCTGTCAAGGCAAGCTTCGATCTCGATCTCCGCAACAATTTGAATGAGGCCGCCATTAGATCCAGATTTGGTGATCCCGTGATTGCAATCCCCAATCCGCAACCTGGCCAAAGAGGGTTGGGCAGAGGATCTGCACATTCAGCGCAAGATGGCTTGTCACGAAAGGTAGCCGAGGCTACCTGAGTTCCATGTACTCTAGTACTTGTGGCCGTGTCTGCGTCTGCCTTCAATCCCAGATTTTTGCTCGGGCCCCCCCCCAAAAAAATATTAAAACGGTATATTGAGTGAAGTTTTTTAAACTTAAATTATAGCAGTAAAACAAGGGAAGGTCCCCTTCTAGGCGTCGCGCGTTTTTTAACGCACGACGCCTTTAAAACCTGCATTTCGTGATTTTTTTTTTTTTTAAATGCATCTTCCAAGAGGGGTCTCCGAAGTAACTTTTTTACCTCACCGAAGCAATTGATGATGATGATAATGATGATGATCATGTTGATGATCATGTTGATAATCATGATGATGATGGTGATGATGATGTTGATAATGATGAGGAGAATGTTGATCATGATGATGATAATGATGATGTCGATAATGATGATGATCATGTTGATGATGATGTTAATGATGATGATTATGTTGATAACGATGACGATGTTGAAGATGATGATGATATGAATTGCAAAGAAGAAATGCGTGTAAGAAGTAGTTGCAAGTACGCTGGTTAACGTGAACGTTCTAATCCCCCCCAAACCCAACCCCATGCCCACACGCCACCGGACACCAACGTCAACATATCAAAACCGAAACATCGACCGCGTGTCAAACCGTGACTTGCAAAAGTGAAAAGCGTGTCAAGAACGAAGATGCAGGAACGTTAATAAACAAGAACGTTATTAGCCCCCCCCCAACCCCACCCCACCCCACCCCACCCCACCCCACCCCACCCCACCCCACCCCACCCCCACCCCACCCCACCCACCCCCCCACCACATCCCACCCCCTCGAACAAACCCTGGCATGCCAACACGCAACTATCACCGCAAGCGCGTCACGAAACACAGCAAAAAACGCAGAAAATGCAACGGCGCGCAAGAAAACAGTGTAGAACGTGGAATGAAATGGATGCTTCGAAAATGACGGAAACATGAAAAAACGACAACACTCCGCGACGCCCTCGCGGGGTCCTTACCTAAAACAACTCAAAAATTATTCACGAAAAACATCGCAGTCTAAAAGGTCATTTTTGATATTGTTGATTGCTCAATTTTTTCAACAATATCAAAACTTAAAAATGAAAATTCATAACAGTCAAAGCACAATTACCTCTTCCATTTTCCAAAAGCATAATTACCTCATTCATTTTCTAAAAAAATAGCAGTCAATACATAATTACCTCATTCATTTTCTAAAATCAAAGCAGTCAATACATAATTACCTCATTCATTATCTAAAACCATAGCAGTCAATACATAATTACCTCATTCATTTTCTAAAATCATAGCAGTCAATACATAATTACCTCATTCATTCCATAAAATCATAACCACCTACCATTTCCTCTACTTCATTCATTTCATAAAAACCATCACAGTCAATTCATCATACCCTTATTCATTTTCATAAAATTCATCACTACTTACCATATCATCATCTCATTCATTTTCATAAATCATAACAACCTACAACCTTTCTACCTCATCCATTTTATAGAAATCAGAACAGTCAAAGACATCATTACCTCATTCAATCCATACCCAAAACAAAACAACCAACAAACCAAGCAAAGGACAACATAAAGAACAAAACAATAGACCACAACAAGTATAAAGCCCTACCCTTTAATGATCCTATTTTAACATTCCATAATTCTAAGAATGCTATTATCAAAATTATGTTATTCAATATTCCAAAATGGTAAATTTGAAAGTAAATGCCTGAATTCCAATGATTTTGATTTGCCGTCGGACTATTCTAATCTCCTTCTGATAAATGAAGTGAAGGAAGAAAACTGTTATTTTCATCACTACCATCAACAATACCAATTGAAACGTGGTGTTCAAACTCATCGTGTTCGTATTTTATGTCAGGGTGTCTTGCTTGTATATGATATCTACATGTGCATCTGTATCTATAACTAAATATCCATATCAGTGTAGCTGTGGCAGATCTGGATTTTTTTTGGGGTTGTTTTGGGCAATGTCGAAGATATCGGCAGTTTGAGTAGATTCAACACTTCTTTGCAACACTTCGGTCATTTCATTTCTCCCCATCATATATGTGCATTGCGTCCAACAGGCTGCGAACTCTTCTCTCCGCAACAGTTTTCTCATCAACTTACTGCTTGTTGTTCTTGACTGCGCTGTTCCTGTAGTAAGCACTTACGGCTGCCTTCACTGTTACTTTAATTTCGTTACATCCCTGATTCAACCAGCCTTTCCAAAATTTCCCTTGTTCAGTTTCATTCTTTGAATATGTCTCTTTATGACTTTTATTTTTCTCTTCCCCTAGCAGTTTGCACCATGTTTTGTTCATCTCTCTTTTTTGTATGTGCTTTGCTGCGTGGCATGCCTAGCTCCGAAAAACACTTCTGTCGCCATGTTTCTTTCAACACATTTTCGCAATTTATTTATCCAAGACTGCGTCGCATTGTTGCAAGGTTTTTCTGGCAACAATGCTGCAAATAGATTTTGCCGTTGCTATCACTTTTTGTCAGATTTTTGCCTCACAAGGTACTTGCTACGTTTTTTGTGGCACCAGTTCAGCATATTCAAGCTAGTAGTCCCAGACAGAACAGCTCGCAACGTTATTGTCTCAATAGCTGTTTTGCGCTGTATATATGTCTCCAACTCCACTTGAAGGCTCGGATTAGCTTCACCCCAGCGGCTGGGATGGACGCAATTCAATCTAATTTCTGCCTGCGTGCATGCGGCCGTAGAAAGAAAAACATGACCAGCGCTCGAAAATACCCAACCACGTTCTTTGTCAATGTAGTGGGCCCCTGCCTAATACACGGCATTTTCGCACCTAGGGGTTGGGTTCCTGCGTGATATGCTTACGCTGGCGCTTTTACCGTTTTTCCTTTCCTGGCCAACAAAAGGTGATCCCAACATAATGTTCTAAGTTTGACAAAAAATCAACGCTTAAAAAAACTTGACATGCCATCCCCACTGACCGGCAAGTCAAATAGGGCCACACTAGTAAGGAGCATTTGCCCCAGGATCAGACATCAGAACCGCACCACCTCATCCTCCTCATCCTCCTCTTTTTCATCCTCATGTTCATCCTCATGTTCATCCTCATGTTCATCCTCACGTTCATCCTCATGGTCATCCTCATGTTTATCCACATGCTGCTCGTCATGTTCATCCTCATGTTTCATGTTTCATGTTCAGGTTTCATGTTCATGTTTCATGTTCATCCTAATGTTTTATGTTCATGTTCATCCTTATCATCATCATGATCATGAGAATGTTCATCACCATCACCATCGCCATCGCCACCGCCACCACCACCAGCATCATCAGCATCAGCATCAGCATCAGCATCATCATCATCATCGTCGTCGTCGTCATCATCATCATCCTCATCCTCATCCTCATCCTCCTCATTTGTCATCATCATCATCATTATCATCATCCTCATCCTCATCCTGATCCTGATCATCCCCAGCAAAAAACATTAGGACAACCATGTTTTGCAAAGATGCACAACGGGCATTATGTTTTAATTTTTCTGCGAAAAGGAGGCGCATGGGACAACATTGGATGACGTTACGTTGTGTAGCAGGCCGCGACCAAAGATTGGATTTATTCTTTAAACTAACACTCTTCGGAGAAGACCAGCGATTGCATACATTGCTGAGGCGTCCCTCCTTATTTTTGATACTGCATTTTTTATTGGAATTTTACATGCCCATAGTATGTTTCCAGGATTCAAAACTTTTGCTTCAAACTCCCTGTTCTTTTTGTCCACCCCAGTCCTCTCAAGTGGTTTCCCCCCAGCCTAAAAGCACCCATTGAATCCAACTTCCTTGCTAATTCCCATAAAAATCATATTCCAGACCTATTTCTGTGGCTTTTATGTTCGATTTCTGGGGCGCATCCAGTTCGGGCTGGTGAAAGATACGTCATGCTGTCATGCTGTATCCTATGACCTGACTGCCGCAGCCTTAGGCACGCCCAATTGGCAAATGTCAAGGTTCGGATTGGCAACAGTGCGGGGACGCACCTTGGACTTCCGCTTGGGATGGTGTCGCTAAATGTACAGCTTCCATCACGAGGTGTTTCCTTTCTGTTGGGCCACAAGTCCAGCCATGGTCCAGATTTTGAAGTTCAGCAGGTCGCAGATTAGGTGGACAGATCGCAAGTTGGGGGCCTTTCTTGCAAAAGCTGGTGCTTTTGGCATCAAACTTTGCCTCTTGTAGAACAATCCACTATCCAGTTCACTGCTGTGAGGCCGGAAACCGGCGTTGCAACCGCATTGGACTTCATGCTTGGACTAGACGGTGAGACACCAATTGTCGGTCTGGCCAAGCACTGAGAGTGGTTGGCCAGCAGGGTCAGGAAAGCTCACTGTATGGATCAGAATCAAAAAGGAAGCCGGTGACAAGAAAAAGAATGCAGGTCATTTTGTAGGTATGATCCGTCCATTTTTGGAACTGCCCCAGGTTGGCGGAGTTTTCTCAGCGACTTGGCCGAATTTTCATGTCCTTGATTGTTTTCTCCATCAGCTGTGATAAAAAGCTCAGTCCCAGCTGCGGAAAGTTCATGAAAATTCGCTAGTTGACTCACCTTTTGACTTTTCTAGGTCGAATTTAACAGTATCCGGGATGCCTTGCATCATGAAAATCTGGTTGAAAGTGTGGATCAACACAGAGTGTCATCAGGTCTTCTGGTTGGTGGTAGTACGAACTCCCTATCTGATCTTATCTGTAGTCTTGCAATGTATTGCATATATTGGGACAGAAATGGCTTGACGTGATCCCTCCGCATCGCCTCGTACGCCTCGTACGCAACTGCGTAAATATGTCACAGTCTAGTGCACATCCCCAACCAGCTTCGTGCTTGATGGTGTTGCCCCAAAATTTGCGGCTTCATCCCTTTAGGATGCTTTAGGGCAAAAGGTTGCTCAAGATGTGAGAAATCAATCTCTTGTGCACATCTGTATAGATGGAAAAATCCTAATTCTGATATACCAATGATACAAGTGACAATTTTTATTGGGTCTCCCCCATGTCAGAAGACAGGATTGTCAGGGCTAGCACGCTTTTTTGTGGCGCCGAAGTACCGCGACCGCAACGCCAGTCCATTTCGATGCCGATCGCCAGTGTGGCGGCTGTCCAGATGCTTGGACGGTGACGATTTTTCGATGGAAGTGAGGTTGGAAGACTACTTTCCTCTTAAATGGTTGATTAGTTGGGGTCTATGTTAATTTGAGCATGGTAATTATGGAGATAATCCACCTAATCCACCTGGCAAGCTGAGTGGTACTTCCACACATCCACCTAGTCTGACGGATAGGAATGGGGGAATCATCCCCTAGTTTCTTTCAGATTTTTGGAAAACATATCTTGTACCCCTGTGAATTCTGTTCTGGAAAGTAGTTGAAGTAGTTCCTCAAGAATTGTTGAATGCGGTCAGTCGCCAAATGCACACCTCACAGTGTTTGTCATGTGGCATGATTTGACCCTAGTATGAATTGGCAGAGATTTTTCGTTTATCAACCCGATGTTCTTTTTAAGATCTGATAGTTGACAAGCAACCCAAAGAATCGGTCGTTTTCACAACATACCCAGACAAGTTGGGGCATAGTCCAACTGGTGTCCTGCAGCTGAGTCAACGACCACATCTCCATTGCATGTTTTATGTTCAGAGCTGATCGGTGTCATAGGTGTTGTAGTACCGGATTGGGAAGTGTCATAGTCCCTAGCTAGATGTTTACAAATTCATTGTCCGGAATACCTTTTGAAGGTCACACCCGGCATGTAATGTGAACAATGGGGGGTGGTTCGCATCCAGCTGTATCACTTGTATTGGCTATGGCAATGCCCCAGGAAGGTGACGCAGATCTCCTATGGATCTACAAGCCCTGCGCTGTCCAACAAGGTGAGAGTTGGGCCTTTTGGCGTTGGCAAACCCTGTAGGATAGCCTTTTTACCCAATGGTTGATTTTCATTTTCGAAATTCAACTCGTTTTTTCTATGGCGGTTTTCCATGTCTGAATATAAGCCTCTGAGAGCTTACTGCCGCCTGCATCCATTCATAAATGATTTTTAAAATTCAAACAAGGAAAAACCTCGCCAGCCATGGAATAACAATGAAAAAAGCCGAAGACTTCACCCAAAAGCTGCACCACTTCTGCCGAGTTCGTGAGACCAGTGGCTTTTCGAAACCAGCGTCCATAGAATGGAACTCGCGACCAAGCCCTGGCGGCCAGGATACATATCCGTACTTCTTGCGTACGGTTCCTCCTGACAGTATCCAAGGGCAAGCATTTTGGAACTGGATCGTTACTTTCGAGGCTCGCTACTTGTGGCCGTTTATTTTCCAAACAAGTTGATGTGGCTGGATTCATCTTCCTTGGCTAAGTCATGACCTATGTCAAAATGTTCCAGATCCTTGGAGCCCTTGGACATCTACAAAGGGCTTCAATGGATCTTTGTAGACCGATGATGTTTGTAGACCGTTGAGAATCACTGTTAGCTGCTCTTTGCAAAGTGACATTTTGCCTTTCATGCTTGGATGGGTGCCCCAGATATCCCCAGATAGTAACTGCTTCAAAGTCGTGGTTAGTTTCCCTAGGTATGTCCCCAGTCAGGTCATCCTCCTGCATTTCCCACATCCCCGACTGCTTGGGAGGTACCATTGGCTGTGTGCATGTATGCGGTGGAGCCATACGGTGACTCGGTCAGTAGATGTTCGAGATGGGGTATGGATTGGTTGACCGGAAAATCCACAGCTTCACCACCCCCTATATATATATATATATATGGTGCAGCGTTGGCCACCCCCCCTCCCCCCCCCCACCAATGGGTATGGGTGGACAGTATCGTCTGGTTCTTCTGGCCCCCCCCTGTGGCCTGTGGTGGTGGTATGGTTCTTCTGGTCCCCCCCCCGCCCTGTGGCCTGTGGTGGTGGTATGGTTCTTCTGGTCCCCCTCCCCCTGTGGCCTGTGGTGGTGGTATGTTGGGTATGTTGGTATGTTGGTATGTTGGTATGTTGGTATGTTGGTATGTTGGTATGTTGGTATGTATGTATGTATGTATGTATGTATGTATGTATGTATGGAATGTAAGGTAAGGTAATGTAAGGTAAGGTAAGGTAATGTAAGGTAAGGTAATGTAAGGTAAGGTAAGGTAATGTAATGGTATGTATGTATGTACGTAGGTATGTAGGTAGGTAGGTATGTAGGTATGTAGGTATGTAGGTATGTAGGTATGTTGGTATGTTGTTATGTATGTATGTATGTATGTATGTATGTATGTATGTATGGAATGTAAGGTAAGGTAAGGTAAGGTAAGGTAATGTAAGGTAAGGTAAGGTAATGTAAGGTAAGGTAATGTAAGGTAAGGTAATGTAATGGTATGTATGTATGTATGTACGTAGGTATGTAGGTAGGTAGGTATGTAGGTATGTAGGTATGTAGGTATGTAGGTATGTAGGTATGTAGGTATGTAGGTATGTAGGTATGTAGGTATGTATGTATGTATGTATGTATGTATGTATGGAATGTAAGGTAAGGTAATGTAAGGTAATGTAAGGTAAGGTAAGGTAAGGTAATGTAAGGTAAGGTAATGTAATGGTATGTATGTATGTATGTACGTAGGTATGTAGGTAGGTAGGTAGGTAGGTATGTAGGTATGTAGGTATGTATGTATGTATATACACCACCACAGGGGCATCATACCCCCCCCCCCATCCCATGGGGGGGGGGTGGGAACACGGGACACGGGACCATATATACATATATATATATATACATATATATATATACATATATATATATATATATATGTATATATATATACACATATATATATATATATGTATGTATGTATAATTATATGTAAGGATTTCCTGTAACTTTTCCCTTCAATTCTAGAAGGCTATGATTGACCTGAGTACTATTGGTCGTGCAAAAACAAAATGATTGGGGCTCCGGTGCTTACTCCACCCTGTCTCTAGGAAGGGTATGTAAACTCAATACCACAAACTTCTGACTTGCGGTGGCGTGTGGTTCCAGCCTGGCTTGAGGGCTTGAAGCAGCAAAATCAATTCTAGGTGGGCCCCTTAGAATCGATGGTAAAACGACCCAGGGTCCCCTTGAATTGATTGGAAACCCAGCCAAGTTTCCAGGTTTTTGGGAGTTGGAGGGGTTCACCATCTCCCAGTGCTTTAGTGGCAAGGTCAAGGCCTCTTCCTTGCCATTGAAGAACAGTCAAAGCTGGCTGGTGAGGACCTGGCTTTGCCCCGGTGATGAGTCAAGATGGCGCAAGAATCCGTGAAAAGTCAACAGCATTCTGGCACCTGGGGAGATCTTTGCTGACTGGAATGCATCACTCATGGAATGCACAAGCTCATGGAGCGCCCCATAAAACGGAAAGACACGTTTCTCAGTGTCGATCAGTACTGCCGCACGAGCTTGCAGGAAGGACGCCTGAAGGGTGTGAGCGTGCGCTACATGCCAACTACCTTCGTGGTAGAAGAGGCCCAAGGGGGGATCTGTGCAGCCTGGGTGGCGCCTGAGCAGTGGCATAACTGGAGGTTCATTGCCTAACCAATGGGCACAGTTTGGCATCACTCATCCCCATATCACAGTTTTTGGGTAAAGCATCCCAATGTCTATAGTCTACAGGCAAACTGCAATCTTGAAGAGGCAATGCATACCAATCCAAAGGAATCCAAAAGAATCCAAAAGATGGTCTCATACAGGCATGGGTCAAAATTAGGAACATCCCAGAATTGGTGGACATATTGCAGGAAACACCTATAGAAAAATAAGAAACATGATAAAGAAAGATGGCGAGTTTTCCTGTCCATTTTCCCTTACATCCATCGAGGCACGTGGTGCGATCCAGATTGCGAAGTCCTTAGGCTCTCGCTTCATTTTTGTGCCTTGGAACTGAAAACGGCCAACGCTAGACTGGAAATATGGTTAGGATCGGGGAAGCTACCTTTTGGTAATCTATTAATAATGAGGATTATGTGTCAGATAGATGCATAAGCAATAAACAATGGAATATTATGGAGAGTTAACCAGCCGCTGGTTCTCAACATAGCAATGGGAAACACGCAGTTTCAATAAGTAAATCATCTACAAATGGGCAATTCTCCATCTTAGATTGCCAGAGGGTATAAATTTGAGCTCCATTGGTGGATTATGGTGGATTTGTAAACCTGTTTTTCCCTCAAACTTGGAGGTTTGCGAACTGGATCTGTGCCCAGGGCTTGCATCAATGGGATTTATGAGATCTTTGGCATGGGCAGATACCATGGATGTCAGGGGAACTTTGTAGCGGCATGGAACCCCTGTAATTGGCTACTTCCCTGGTTTTCTTTGAATTTTCTAACGCCCACCCAATGAATCTCAGTGGCAAATCTGGAACCAGGTATCGATGAACAGCCAGATGAGCAACGAGTTCGTGCCCGTCATGGTATCTGCAGCCTAGCTTGATGGGCATTAGCATTGGCCTTGTTCATCACTGACACTGCAAATTGCGGACTTGTTCACTTTCTCTCTGGGGATTGGCCAAAATCTATGATTTCCATAGACGGAGGTAGGAACATCAACCATCTCAGCTCAAAAGTCCTGGAGAACGTCGGTAAGTCGACTGGAGCTGCAACCCCCTTTTCTTGTTGGATCAGAATTTTCATGTGTTGCAGCAATGGTTTCCAACCAGTTTCCCAACCAGAGAGGCTCACATCCAACTGGGATCCAAGGAAGGGATGTTTGAACCTGGCTGGCAAGTCTTGGGCTCTGAAGCTCTTACTCCGATCCTTGGCGAGCAAGGTCGCCAGGGTTGCCAGGGTCGCCAGGGGCCAGGGAGTAGGGCCTTGGTATGGACAGCCCATGAGAAGTTCTGAATTTTCTTGATGTGTATATTGTATATTGTCCATTTTCTGTCTGGACGATTTATAGCGTTTGCCCATGGCCGATCTCATAAAATATGATTCATGTTGAGGCTCCAGCATTCAAACATGGGCTTGAATTCAAATCATGTCGGTCTTTGCGTAGGATTTTGATGAGGGAAATCATGTGCATGAGCCCGCGATAGATACTGTTGTCACCTTCTGGGATAGCATGTGCATTTGCGGATGAGCATTCCACGCTACGATTGTCACATGCTCATATGAGCATGAGAACCCCAGGACTGTGGGAATTACAGAGAAACATCCCCAAATATCCTTAAATCAATTACCCTCTGGTAATTTAACATAGCTATAGAAAGATCCACCATTTTCAATGGGAAAATCCACTATTTCACTGGGCCATTTTCAATAGCTATTTTGACATAACCAGAGAAAATATCCTCCATTGGATTCTCGGGATGATCCTCACAGGTGCCGGATCCCATTGACTAAGTGCTTCGTAGCCCATGAATATATTGAGATGGGCATTTAGATAAATAAGTAAATTGATATATATATATATGTATTAAATGTGCAATTCAATAATAACAATACATACATATACATATATATATACATGGACCATATATATATATATATATGTATATATATATATATGTGTGTATATATATATGTATACATATATACATATGTATATATATATATATGGTTCATATGTATATATATATATATGGGTGGATATTCCAGTAAAACAAGTTTGATTACCGTATTTTTGGGCTCAAACTTTGCCCCCGTTGCCGAGGTATGGCCCGGCCGTCACAGAGGCGGATCTACCAATTGGCTTCATGCGCTGGAATCCCGTGAGCCGAGGCGTCCATGGGGGTATATATACATATATATATATATTTGTATATGTAATATATATATATATACTATGTGTGCGTACGTATTTATTATATGTCAGGGGAGATCTCATAGGGTTATTGGATAATGACTGGACGTGATAGCAACCCCACTTGAGGATTCGGACCTGTCAGGCCTGTCCCTTCCAAAGTCCAGCTCGCAGCCTACTCTCATTTAACAGGAAGATAGGGCAAAGGAAGTTGGGAAGCCATCCGATTTACGGAAGACCTTTCCAACAGTCACAATACATACATCAAAACACAGAAACACAACGGTACATACATAACAAAACATACATAACTATACATACACAACAATACATACTATCATTTTCCCTTTCAAACTGACAATTTGCGGGTTTGTCACAATTTCAGACACAGCCATTCATTGGAGGCTCCAAATTTCCTGCTTTTTCGAGCATGTGGAGCAAACTGACGGAGAATGTGACCTGGCAGCCAGCTTGTTTTCGCAGCCAAAAATGCGGGGATTGGTTGTGTGCAGTGGCCTTGCAGTTGCCTCCGCGACTAGATACCGCATATAGCAGCAGCCTTTTGAAAGAGAGAACAGTAACTCCAACAGCAGGGGATCGCCACATCCCACCTGTTGTGCCACGTGGCGCCAGTGCAGACCTTCGCCCAAGGATGTGATGTCTGCCACTGCAAGGGCCCGCTACAAGTACGACAACTTCAAGGCATGAAAAATGCGGTGAAAACTTCCGCGGGGTGACCTCAATCTTTGGGTTTCAATGAATTGGCCATAGGGCCATAACCGATCATTAACGATGTTATTTTAAGTTATTTCGTCCATATCCATAGGTTGTCGTGGGTCCTGCGACGTCGGGTTGATGAGTTGATCACGGACCTGGTTATAAGAATTACACTTCTGTTTTCTTCCCAACTACATCAGAATTATAGATGTTTTTCATGTTTTTTCCATTTTTTCCCAACTATAAACTATAAATTTATAGGGGATATCCCAGCCCGCCATGTTTGATGACACCAGATGGATACGGAACATCTGCCATCGCCAGGTGCCCTTGTCATCAGCCACCGTGCCTGCGGTGACCGATGCCAACTTCGCTAATGGGGACCTGCCATCCTACGCACCTTGGCGATGAACATTGGGAGATGTGGGTCTTGGGGCACAGCCATGGCAATTTTCATGAGATGATCAGCAAATTTGGAACCAACTTTCAGATCCAAATGAGATGTAGAGTGCTCAGTATTGGATGTTCACTCTGTGACGACTCAATGGGAGAATAGTGAATAGTTCTGCAAGATAGGCCATCTATACAGAACGGGTGAATCTGTTTCGACTCTGACATGCCCCAAGCTAGAATAGCAATTCCTTCCGAATGAATTCGTTGTTCTGAGGAGTTTGAATCTAATATTGTAAATCCTCAGACCACAGTTTCCTGCAGAAACATCTATATAATTGCTCCAGGTCCAACCACAGATCTTGGGCCATTTAGCGCTTTCATTTTTCCCCTGGATCCACTTTCAAATCTTTGATAACACCGTCTTAACTTTTCGGTAGCTAACTTAAAGTTATAGAAACTATAGGTTTCAGTCCCATTTTCTTTGTTTCCATGTAGGTCCGGCTTATTTTTTTTCCGGGCCATGGGGGGCCCAGTTGGCCACGGAGCTTCATTCAGGACAGCTTCCTGTTCGATGCATGCTACACCTTCGTCTTTGCGATCAATACCTTGCTGCACGCCGTTCCCTGGCTCTGGCCTTCGCAATGTGTGTCCCAATTGGCAAGTTGACAAACGCACACACACACACATGCGCGTACATGTACATGTACATGTACTTCAATGTCCTGTGTTGTATTGTACTGTAATGTAATACAAAGTAACATGGCGTAACGCAATGTAATGTAATGTATTGTAATGTAATGTAATGTAGTGTAATGTAAATAATGTAAATAATGTAATGTAATGTCATGTAATGTAGATAATGCAATGCACGGCAATGCAAAGCAACGTATATGTTTGTGCAAGCTTGTCTATTATGTGATGTTGTCTGATGTGATGCGATGTGATGTTATGCTACCCTCAATTATGTCCCGCTGTGCTGTACTTTCCAAATCCGTATATAATAATTATATATATATGTTTATTTATGTATATACGTGTTACGTGTCTATAATATATATATATATGTGTATGTGTGTATGTATGTATGTATGTATGTATGTAT